AATGAAAGAAAAGTTTCATCAAATTTCCACAGGCAGAAGTCATGACAGTTCAGATGCCAGACAAAGGACAATGGATAACAGATCTGCATGCACGACTTGGACAGAAGTAATAAATGGCTGAGAAACTTCTAATTCATTTGCAGTTTATACAGATGACTGTGATAACCTCTTATTATGCCATATGGAGGCCCTGACTAACAGCCAGGGGCTTTAAATTACGTTGAAATTGATTCCTGCGCTTCAGCTTTCAGCTGTAAATGACGTCAAAAGACTATGGGCTTAAAGTGAAAATGAACAGAAGTATATAAAAGAAAATGAGCTCTAGTAAGTCTTTATTAATTTGAGGTAATAATGTGCATCATCACTGAAGCCCTGTGCCAGTTATTGCCAGCTATTGGCTACATTGCCCTTTTTAATTGAATATAGACATCAGATTGAGTACAGATTTCTCGCTTTCAATCCACACACATTACATAACGATATTAAATTGCAGTACATAATTGGTTAAACATTACTGTTTAAAATTTCTTGAATCTTGCAGCCGATCTTAAATACTGCATGTACTCTATTAAATACAAGCTCACCCAAGAGACATAAACTGACTGAAGCCAGGAAATTTTAAACGAAGTCTCAAGCTGACATTTTGTCCCTAACTCATATAACTGTGTTTCCTCATAGCTACTAAGAGTGCATGTCCTAATGGTGTTTCTATCTTTATTTGTACAAATAATATTATTGAAGCAGTCAGAGCCTTCATTTAAGAAAGCAGGATACATGAACTACCTTGAAACTTGGCCTGTGGTGGAAAGACATAGGTGTAAAATCTCTCTTTCTTGTGCTCCTTTTTGTCTATTTTTGGATCCGTTGAAAAGAAAAGAAAGTCAAGAAGAGATAAGAATTTAATTAAATTCCCCAACTACTTCCAATTTGTGATTTACTAAATTCAGCCAGCTTGCAATGGTGTTGTTTTAACCACACTTCTTGAACTGCTATTGTCAAAATAAATTTGAAAACGATGAAGCCATGGTAAACAAAAACGCAAAATAAAAGCTCAAGAGTCATAAGGGAAGATAAATAAACCCTGAAAATAATATATAGTCTTGTACCCCAGAGGCAGCAGTAAAAAGAATTCTTATCATCCATCATGTTGAAAATTAAACTGTTAAACATGACTTTCTTTTTACAACCAATTATATTTTCTGTGTATGTTTCCTAAGAGTAGACGTTTCTATGTCTAGCTCAGTGATACGCTAACAACAGAACATTAAAGAGAGGTAGACTCTGAACAGATATGATATCAAAATTACTGTAACTCAGAAAATACATCATTAGTCCTCAGAAGCAGGATTCATTGACAATAAGTAGTGAAAAGTGATTAGCCGCTATTGAATAACAGGAACTAATAAATAAATCAAACTAGGTTTCATCACATTTCACTCTGCCACCAAATGCCTGCACAACTTCGGGCAAATCACAAGCTTAGGGCTTGATTTTGTCCATCTGTTAGATGCTATAGTCTTAGCTACACCATACAACTAGATTGGTAGAAGAACCCTCTGCTAGTCTGTAGACAGACAGAAGCCAATTAAGATAAAAAAAACCTTCAAGTTATAGTTCAAAAGCCTTTATCCATAGCTTATTTCAGTGGTATAATTACACTAAAACTTTGATACAAAGTCATAATATGTTCCAGCAGGTGATTGATCCCAGGGGCTTCCATAAGACGGTTTTTGAGTGGTTGGGGTATTCAGAAAAAGACAAGACATCGTCTGCATTGATGAGTCCTGAGCAGACCCGCTAACGCACAAAGTGGAGTTAAAGCACAGGACATTGATTGCTGCTATGTGTGGCTTGAGTATGAGCTAGCCGAAATCTGGAAGGCGCATGTCTGTGTTTCTGTGGGGCTGTGCTTGTAAGAAAATTCCTTCAAGACCATGGTAGGAAGCTCACTGTGCTTAGACTTCATAGCTTCGACTTCTGGCAGTGTGGGATCTCTGCACCATATTACACCTACCAATGGTGTACCCACAAAACTGTTGCTTAAAGCCACCGCAAGTCTTTAAGTAATCTGAGAGGTTACTACGTGTAGTTAGCACCTTACAGCCAAATTCTAATTCTGAGCTGCTTTTAAAGCATGGGAGACAACCAATTTTGTTAGTCATCTTTTTTTTCTGTAGTATGAAGTTACATAATTTGGTCCTTTGTTTGAAGGTTCATTCATTAGGTTACATAATTTGGTCCTTTGTTGGAAGGTTCATTCAATTATCTAAACAAAAATTCTCCTAGCACTGTAAATTCATTTGTACATGTCTCTTTTCAACCTATGGTTGAAGTCTCAACAGATTCAGGTAAAACTAGGAAAATGGAAAAAGACTATCCTTCTCAATAGGAAAAAAATTATTCCTGGTAATGAGATTATTATGGCTCACATTGTCATCATCACATATATTGGCTGCTCACCCACTGCAAGTATCCTAGGCAAATCAGGATGCCACTAACAGAACAATACACCTCTCAAAATGCCTTGGGCTAGGAGCACATTGCCGGTGCATTTCAGGTACTGCGAATAAAGCACTTCCATTTGTTCTGTAAAACGTCAGCTCAACTTGGCTGCTCTCTTTTCAAGTTCAGTCTTAAACTTTGTGTGAAAGACAGCAACAATTCTGCAAATCTGAGAAGGCATTTTTGGCAAACAAAGTATTTGACAGATAAGAAAGTTAAGAATCCAGCAAAACAGGTCATATTATATTTGACTCTGTTGTTAAAAGGTGTTATTTGAAAATTCAAGATGCTTTCTTTCAACCTTTCATTCTAATTTTTCATTTTGAATTTTAGCTATATTTCATCTAAGAGGAAGAAAAAAAAAGCCAAAAATAAAAATCTTTAGTCTGAATCACTGGGGTTTTTTTCCCTGTTTTGATAATGACCATCACCCAAAAAAACTTTCCCATCCAACCATGAAATCAAAAATATGAAGTATTCATAAGTAGTTGACTTATTACTTTATCCTACTCCCATTCTCAGCAATTTTGTATGACAAAGGCATTTGAAAAAGAACTAAGAAACAAGCACAAACCCCCTTGACTTCTGGAATCAATAAAATGCTCTGAAGTCTTGAAAATAAATGAATTACCCATTGCTTGGCTATTTTAAAATAAAATCAAAGACTCACAGAATCACAGAATGTTCGGGGTTGGAAGGGACCTCTGTGGGTCATCTAGTCCAACCCCCTACCAAAGCAGAATCACCTAGAGCAGGCTGCACAGGACCTCGTCCAGGCGGAGTCTGAACATCTCCAGAGAAGGAGACTCCACAACCTCCCTGGGCAGCCTGTTCCAGTGCTCCGTCACCCTCAAAGCGAAGAAGTTCTTCCTCATGTTCAGATGGAACTTTCTATGCTTCAGTTTGTGCCCATTGCCCCTTGTCCTGTCGCTGGGCACCACTGAAAAGAGTCTAGCCCCATCCTCCTGACATTCACCCTTAAGATATTCATAGGCATTTTTAAGGTCCCCTCTCAGCCTTCTCTTCTTCATGCTAAATGAGCCCAGCTCCCTCAGTCTTTCCTCATAGGAGAGATGCTCCAGTTCCCTCACCATCCTCGTAGCCCTCAGCTGGACTCTCTCCAGTAGCTCCTCATCTTTCTTGAACTGGGGAGCCCAGAACTGGACACAGTACTCCAGATGGGGCCTCACTAGGGCAGAGTAGAGGGGGAGAATAAAGTCCCTAGATCTGCTGGCCACACTCCTCTTAATGCACCCCAGGATCTCATTGGCCTTCCTGGCAGCTAGGGCCGGTGTATCAGCCACTCCTCCCGGTTTGGTGTCATCAGCAAACTTGCTGAGGGTACATGCTAACTCTTCATCCAGGTCATTGATGAAGAAGTTGAACAAGACTGGGCCAAGTACTGATCCCTGGGGAAGACCACTAGCTACAGGCCTCCAGCTAGACTCAGTGCCGCTGACGACAACCCTCTGAGTTCTGCCATTCAGCCAGTTCTCAATCCACCTCACTGACCACTCATCCAGCCCACACTTCCTGAGCTTCACTATGAGGATGTTATGGGAGACAGTGTTGAAAGCCTTGCTGAAGGTAGACAACATCCACTGCTCTCCCCTCATCTACCCAGCCAGTCATGTCATCGTAGAAAGCTATCAGATTGGTCAAGCATGATATCCCCTTGGTGAATCCATGCTGACTACTCCTGATAACCTTTTTTTCCTCCACTTACTTAATGATGACTTCCAGAATGAGTTGCTCCATCACCTTTCCAGGGATGGAGGTAAGGCTGACCGGCCTGTAGTTCCCTGGGTCCTCCTTCTTGCCCTTTTTGAAGACTGGAGTGACACTGGCTTTTCTCTCTAAAATGATCATGACAACAATTAATGTGCAAGAAAGATCAAAGCTACAGTGGAAAGGATTTGGAAAACAGACACAGAGTTCTTGACTGCATTTAACTTTTATGATGCCCACAGAGCAGAGCTCCAGGGAATGCTCAGAAGCATTTACTAGGATATACACATTTCTTGCTTACTTGCTCTTTCACTCAGCCCCTTCTATCACACTACCCAGTCCAATTCATCTCCGAAGTTTTGGGGGATATTTTCTTTTTTTCTCCTGAACAGTTTATTGAACAACGGCATAATATAAGCATGCATCCCTTCCTGATATTTATTCCCTTTCATCCATTTCAACAAGGTCCAACAAAATAACCTTTTATATTTGCTCTGAATCTGGAAAAATGATTGAACAGGCTCTTGTTGTTTTTGGCTGAAGGCATCATTAGCTGCTAGATGACTTTTTCCTGCTAAAGGAAAGAGTTTCCCAAATGGATCAAGGTAGAAGGTTTATCCAAGATTAAAAGCCTAAATTTGAAAACAATGCTTTGTGTTGTCCACAGACAGAGTTCCAAAAGACCTGAAAAAGGCAAAGCTGCTTAGGACTTCTACAAAAAACACTTCAAGTTCCCTATGAAATCACTGTAGAGAGACCAGAATTATTTAAAAAGGATTATTTATTAAACATATTTCTTTACAAAGTACAATCAATAGTTTGCATTAAATTTTGGGTTTTGGTATTTGCCTGTATGTACAAAAAAGCTTATAACAGAAAATGTGTCTTGATTTTACACATGGGACACAATACTGAGTTACCTTCATACTTTGATTTATACCAACATAAGCAGTTGAAAATAACTTTCAGCTTATCTGCTGGGTTTTTTTAAATGAAGATGAAGCAACAACATTTCTGCAGAGTGTCAGTACTTATCAATGTATTCAATTATGACAAAGTAGAAACGAATAATCCTTTGGGAAGTTTCCACTGAGAATGAGTGGAACATCACATTTTTTGGCAGGTTACTGGATTATCCTTATGATCCTAAAAATCATTGTTTGCAGTTATAAGATAAGAAGAATTGAGGAGCTAGGTAAGTTTAATAATACCCTATTAGCAGCAGTTGATAGTAAATGCAACATAAGGTTTGTTTTGTCTGTCATACAAGGACGTGTCCTAGCAGACACTATTGTATTGTTCTCTACTTGAACAAAAGTATCTGCATGTATTGTATGTCTTTGAAAAACAAAACAAAAATAAAGAGTCAAAAAGCCATTTATTGTCATGAGTGACTATTGCCATCAGCTAATATGAATGCATTGCTAAAATTAGTGAAGACAGGAAAATGCTGTAAGGTAAATATATACAGAGTTAAAATACATTTCTTATCCACTAGATAGTGATTTTGTGGCACTGTGGTTTTCAGAATATAACGTCTGTTGAGAGCAATGTAATTTTCAGTGCAAGCTAAAGCAAAAATACCTGCCCGCTGTCATAAACATGACAAACAAGTCTGGAATGTTCAAAGTAAGTTCATCTTCCACTTCTCCACTCTTGAGGCACCTTTAAGACATGGCACTTACTGTAAACCATCTAAAAAATCAAGAAAAGCAGACACAATAAGCCTGAATTTTCCATAACAACTTTAAAAATCACTGCCAGAGTCACTTGCATACGTAAACGATGCCTGTGTAAGGCTTGCCAGCAAAGCATCTTTCCTGAGAACGGAGCTGGGACACTCTCTGTGTATCATAAGTGTGCGTGCTCAGAGCTGTGATCGCTGTCGTGGCTGTCGTCGTTCGCTAGTGAGTCCCCCGTGTGCTGGAGACCAGCTGCGCTGATGCCAGAGAGCTCGGAGGGGAGCAGCGTGCCCTTTTTCACATTCACCAGTTCCTTCTCCCGGGCTGCTGCCCCTTGCTGGCCCCCTTTTACCCGCTTCCACTTCATTCGTCTGTTCTGGAACCAAACTTTTACCTTCGCAGAAGAAAGACAAAGCAAGAAAATAAAGATGGGGGTCACTGAAGGTAATAATGATCTTTCTAGCTGTAGCACAGCACTTGGGGTTTTTTGCCTTTTTTTTTTTTTGGATGTGCCTTTCTGTCGGTATGATAAAAAGCTTAGCAAGCCTTCCCTGAAAAGCAGGCAATCCAGTTTTGCATAGGACGTGAACCCTGGGGATGTGAGGATAACGACCGCACAGGAGGTAAAGGGGTCACTGCAAGAAAGCAGCCAGGCTATCTGCAGCTGATAGCTCCGCAGGAAGATCTGAGAGCCCTTTAGAAAACATTAAAAAGCTCACATACTCTTGAAAAATGTCTTAATGCCATTTCACAGGCAGAGAAAACAAGAGGCAAAATGGTTCCCATCAAGGGAAGAAGAAGAACCTACATCTCCTTCACCAGAGAGCCTCGTCTGGTGGCAGGGACCCACACTGCTGCCCCTCGTGCTTACAGTGCTTTGAATCACCCTGCAAAGGAGGGCGGTTACTCCGGAAAGCAACTTGCACTTAAAAGTTTGCATTGCTTTCTGCCTGTTTGTTTCTGTAAACTGGTAGTGAGTTTCAAGTGGAGCACTTTAAAAGCTCTCAAGTGGAGCACTTTAAAAGCTCTTTTTTTTTTTTTTTTTTTACTTGCTGAAGTATCTGAAGGAGCATTTCTTACCATTAAAACTTACAACTTCCCTGTCTATTTCACAGATGTATCAAAATGATTCTAGTTGACTGATCTTTGATTCTACTACATTTAAACACATAGCCTGGTCAAATTTTTCAGACAAATAAAAATACCCTGAAAGCCAGAGAGCAAGGCATTTATAAATTTGAGTCAAAATCAGCAAATAATTTCAGATGAGAATGGAAAAGAAATTCATAGCATGAAAGATTAAAAATGTATCTATATTTAAGTCACATTAAGCCCCAAGATTTTACTCCAGCTGAAACTCATTTCCCCTCCTCCCTTTCTCTGTATAGAAATATATGGGGGGGGATGTAATCCTAAATTATTTGCACAGTTTTAAAGTACCAGCACTGCAAACCACAAGGACTTTTTTTTTTCAATAGCCAAAAGAAAAGAAAAAAAAAGATGTGCATAGCATCTGTCAAATACAGTAGACCAGATTAAAGGCTGATTTCAAATCAACTTAAAATATTGTCACTGAAAAGAGTATGAATAGAAGATTGTTGGGTTTGATCCATTTAGAGTTAATGTTGCCAAAAAATCTCGTGCGTGTGTGTCTGTGCAGCTCTGCACATGAAGGTTCCACAGAAAAATAAACAATGTCTGCAACTTTTCACTTGGAAAGAAAGCAAGAAAGCTTGCAATGTCGGTGTATCCTCTGCTGCATTTAGCAGAATGTGTTTCAGAGTTTTAAAAGAAACAGCAAGGAACAGGCACAGCAGGACATATTGTACAACACGAGTAACAGAGCTACAAAAATGCTGTTTTGCTGAATCTGTCTTACACATCCATGAAACACTGCAGTGTTTACTATCACTTTGAATTTTACATTTAAATTTTACTGCAACTGAACTGATAGTTAACATCACTATCTGTATGTACGTACGTGGGATGGAAGAGAGATATATATATGTATTTTTTTTTATGCTCTATATTCCTCTTAAAGCCAATATGAGCTGTTAAAGCCAATCATTTGGGAACAGAGCAAAATGATTCCAGGTTAGTTAAGAGCCACAAAGCATAGCACATCCTTTCCCTTAGTCAACTCATCAGAGCCAAAGAATCTGGCTTGAAACATGAAATGAGTGTAAAGGGGAAGGTATTTATTACAGGCTGCTGTGTTGTTGGGAATTATCATACTGGAGTCACATACCAGTGGTGTCCATGGAACCAGTGTCTTCAAAAGGCTACAGCATTCGTACAGCAATGGCAGCTTTTGGGGGGAAGTTAAGATGTCGTTTTGTTTACTTTTGTTTTTTAAAAGAATGAATTTTCTCTTGTAAAAGAGACTACTAAACTGGTGCCAGACAGTGTAGCAGTTGCAACTGCAGTCATAATCTAAACATCAAAAATAATACACTTTGGATTCAACCCAGTACCACACAACATTATCACTCTTCTTCTGAAATAAGGGCCCAGATAATTTTATTCGGTAAGAAGGAATGACAGGATTGGAGTGATGTTTAAAAGATCCAGATATTTTTATGTCCTTGAACATTTAAGGAAGAAGTCACAACACTGAAAGTCTAAAATGAAACTATAAAGTATCCAAAAAGTGGTTTCAAGAAAAATTACAATGATGCATTTGAATCAAAAATTTCAATGCACAGCCTGGATTCAACCTCCTTTAACTTACTGGAACAGGAGAGATCCAGGCAAACCACCTTCCAGATGCATCCATTTCATTTTTGGATACTTGAGAAAGTGAAGCCAATATTTCTGCAGTCATTGTCAGAAACTGTTCTGGCTGGGGCAGATGTAAGCAGGGTGATTGCTGCCTGGCTTCTGATATAGGGGCTCATTTCTGCTCTCCTCCTACAGACAGAGCCAAACTCTTACATCTGCTCGCTTGACTTTTTTGACTCTAATAAATTCTTTTTGTTTTCCATTTTTTCTCACAATATTTTGTTGCTGCTGCTTTTTATAATTCAGGTCACTTCACAAAACCACAGCCAAGAGCAGTTGCTCTCCTGAAGCGTTAAACCCAGGAGAACTGATTGGCACCAGCTTCCAGGTAATGAGTAGCCGAGGACAGGCTGGGGAGTATCTCTTCATTCAGATCACCTACCCTCAGACTAGCTCATCCAGCCATGCCCTGAAATGCCTCCACCAGGGATGATTCTAGGTCAGCAGCTGTATATTAGTTGATATAAATCAATTAAACATCGATGATTTCCTTTTTCAAGAATAAGCGCATGATAAATTTATAAATTCCTCAGATGATCCAGCAAGCAAAGCTATGTCTACGTATGACCCGCTGTCTGGGAAATATGACATTGAAGGAAGTAGGGCTGAAAGGACTGCATTTACCTCTGCACGCACTCTCTTGAGTGTAGGAGAAAGAAAGTATCCCTGGGGCTCCCACAGGAGAATATATCGTAATGACTGGCATATAAGCCTATCAGGCTTCCCATAAAGAGAAAATGGTAACAATTTAAAAAAGGGAAAAAAAAAAGGATTTAGGCTTTTTTATTAATGACTTCAAATAATCTGCATCAGATTTACTTAAAGAATATAAAATAAGAAATTTATTTAGTATGCTAAAATTATTTTCAAAAGCTAGAAATAAATTATAGTGAAGTTTATCATTGAAAATATTATGAGTGTATTTTTATGTCATTTGCTGCATTTTTGTACAGCAGGACTCTCATATGAGGGAATAAGTTAGGTATTTTTATATATTTCTTTATGTCCTCCATTATAAAGTACTCAAATCCACTTTTGACGTGATCTGAAGTACACTAATGTCAATGTGAGTTTTCCATAGTGTTCAACGGACTCTAGATGAAGACTTTAATGCTCATGTGCTAATAATATGTGACAGGTCCTTCACTTGTTATTTCCTCTAGAGATCAAATTAAGATATTGGAATTCTGAACTTCCTTTGGAGCTGAAGAGTCAGTTATGGAGGGTATAGGTGTTACTGATATCTGATCTGTCTATATTTTAGTAAAGGGAAGGAAGTAAAGCAAACTTTGTGTGAAGTACTTCAGAGTGTCAGTTTATCTGGATTCATGGAAAACTGTGCTTATTCAAATGCACAACTCATTTGAAACTTACAGGTGTTTCACAAAACATGCATCAGAAGAAAACACCCTGAAGAAACACAAAGGAGAGAGGAGAAAGAAAGAGGAGAGAAACAAAAGAAAGAAAGAAAGAGCAAGAGTGAGAGAAAGAAAAGAATGACTGAAAGAAAAATAAAGAAAAAATTAAAATAAAAATAAAGGAGAGAGAAAAAGCCCTAACTGAAATGGACTTGAAAAACTCTTGAGCTTTTTTTTCCAGTGAAAGAACTAGCTTGTACAAGCCATTTGCAACTTTTGCAAAAATGATATCCTTTCAAAGTAGTTTAAGGATCTACTACAACAAACGGTACTGTAGGTTTTATGAACCTTTTTATGCTGTTTTTCAAGTCTAAGGTAGCTCCAGCAGGAGCTGAGAGTGCTCACCACCTCCCAGAATCAGGTCCTGAATGCCTTATTAAAATGCACTCCCTTTTCTCCACCCTCTGACTAGCACAACTTAACTGTATCGAGCAAGCATATGTATGTACGGAAAACAAAGGAAGTGGCGGGAAATGAACTATATTAAAGATGATGGGAGCATTAACAGCTGTTTCTAAATCAGCACTTATGAGCTCGTCTATTGAGCACATCTGCTTACTGGCACGAAAGCACAGTTTCTTTTCCCTTAGTCAACAAGTTGTTTAGCATCTGCATCTCCCCATCTGATGATTAGAGTGTTACTTCAGATAGGAGGAAACGATTTCACATTGCGCATCTCCTGATGTGCAAGATAAATAGTTTTCCCGTGACCAATTTGTTTTAAGGTCTACACTATAGGAATCATGGGAAAAGATTCAAAACAAGGAGGTTGACATTGCTAGTGTCTACATCACTAAAGTAACCATTGTATACTTAGGATATATATGTCCTTAGTAGGCTTAAGGGCCACATTATGGGCTCTCTTGCATCTGTATCTTTAATACAACTCCATGATATGGGTATAAACACATCATTTGGGTTCCAAATAAGTGTATTACCTAATCTTCTGATTTAATACCCCTTCTTCAGCAGAGCACTTCAGTCACATTAGGAATAATTGACTTCTACCATGCTCTGTAGAACACAGACACTTCCCTTTCCATGGGATTTTAGGATTCTGTACTTACAGAGAAAAGCTAAACAGTTACCTTCTATAATTAATGAGTTTTTCTTAATAAAGACATTCTTTTCTGGAAAATTAAAGCATAACTGAAATCAAATTACCTTAGTTGCACTGTCTGATGCCTTTCTTCTT